AAGAAATTGTAGAAAAGGCAGGGCATAAAATAATCTTTTATCCAAAGTATCATTGTGAATTGAACTATATAGAAAGTTTTTGGGGGGCAACTAAACAATATGCCAGAAAAAATTGTAATTATTCATTTAAAGAATTAGAAAGAACTGTTCCTCTGGCATTGAATTCGGTTTCACTTTGTAAAATTAGAAAATTTGCTAGAAGATGTTATAGATTTATGAGTGCTTATAGATTAGGACTTTCAGGAAGAGCTGCAATATTTGCAGCAAAAAAATATAAATCCCATAGAAAAGTACCAGAATCTGTGTTAATGGATGTAGATATATTATCATTGGGATGATTAAAAATAAATCGTTTGAATTATCACGTGATAATTTTTGATCTATTCTCGTTTTTTGATTGGCCAAATTAGTTTGATCGGCGTGCCGAAATTTTTTAATTTATATCAAAATTACTTAATTTTAAACCCCCATAACTTTTTTTTTTACTAATTAATTTTAAAAAATCTCTCTATTACATTGTTGCTTATGTTTCAAAGATTGCAAAAATAGAAAGATTTTTGTGGCCTGACAAATATTTCCAAATCTATCAGGGTTTAAAGATTTGCAATTTTTTTGATGTCTTTAGATACGGCGCACCATAAAAAAGAATTTAAAACCAAAATATAATAATAAACCCGTCACCAAAGTTGTCACCAAAGTTGTCACCAAAGATTTTTCAGTGACAGATAGCATACCCGCTAACTAGTGTCAAAAATTCCGGCAAACAAAATCGGCATACTTTAATATAATGTACCCGATAGCATTTTTTGATAGCATAGCCTGATAGCATTTACGTGATATACTTAGCATGCAAGCGTATCTCTATAGGCATCCATTATTTCCTCATATTTTTTTCTCGTACCATTGATCGGAGTTTATCATAGCGCCTCCTAATATGCGATAGACATCTACCAGAAGTTGAAAAGGTCAGCTTACCACATTCTTTACATGGTACGCTTCTTGTAGCTTTCCAATGACTACATTCTTCAGGTTCTATATAGGTATTTTCACAAATTTCACCAGGATCATGACCGAATAGACAAGTACAATCATTAGACATTTTTTATTATATTAAAATACAAATCTTCAGATAATCAAAATAAGCATTTTCCTGGAGTGCTACTTATAGATGACCGTCCACACGTGTGGACGATGGACACAAATGCTACATGGCGGAGACTGAAATCACGGAGACTGATTTTTTTTCGATCAATCGTCATCCAAATGATGACGAATTTGTGGATCAATTGTCATCCAAACGACGACGAATTCGTGGGACAAATCGTAACCCAAATGACGTTGAATTTGTGAATCAATCGTAACCCGAATGACGTGAAAAATAGAAATCAAACGTCAAGGCACCTACATATTTTGATGACTCTCGAATGACGACCAAAATGCAAAACGCACGTCACCCAATTTTTAGACTATAAACATCTCATCTATGACGACCAAAAAGCAAAATACACGTCACTCGAATGACGACCAAAATGCAAAACGCACGTCATTCTCGGGTGGGTTATAGTCCGAACTAAGTGGTATAATTATAGTCTGTTAACAGACTATAATTATACCACTATTCAAATGGCAAAACTTGTGTTGATGATGCAATACTTAAATGTTTAATTTTCTTTGTGAAAATGGTTATATTTTTCTCTCGCTATCTTTTTTTTTCGTCAACTTTTTCCTCTTTTTCCTTTTCGTCAATATGCTCTTTGCGGTAAATTACATTTCGTCATGTAACATTTCGTCAGGTATTATTAATTCATATTACTTGATAGTGTAATAGTGGATAAAATGTATTAACATGAATAATCGGTGAATATCATTCAGCGGATACAACCACTACAAAACATTTTTGCTTTATATGTGTAAAAAATCTACCTTGATGGATTTATGGAAATTTGATAAAAAATAAAGTATTTTTTACTATTATTGATATTTAATGACATTACTTTTTATAACATAATGATAGTGTCATGCTACCTTTGTATGAATAAAAAGTTTTACAATTTTTATTCTAAGTTCCTGACACACCACAATATATATAATAAATTCTATAGATAATTATGATTATATTTCAGAATTACTCAAGTTGTATATAATATTTATTCTTTTGAAAAAAACAATAATATATACCCCAATCAAATTTTCTTTACCAACTTATATATTTCACATTCTTCTAACAAATGAAATTTTTTAGAACTATTTTTAAGATTTAAATTATTTTCATAAGAATCAAAGCCATTAAAATAATAGAAGCAATAAGGTTCATAAATAATATTATTACGTGATTGTAAACCATTAAAATTTATAGAAGTTTGATAAAATTCTATATTATCTTCAGTATAATCATAAGCTTGACTGGAACAACATATTACTCTTTCAGGTTGTTTGACTCTACTTAATATTGAACTACCAAGCTGGTTTTTCTTCAATCTTAAAAATAAAACTTTTATCTGTTACAATCCAATTACTCTCTTCATTTGGAGATTTTTCTTTTATATTACAACAAACAGGATTATAAACATCTACTAATTCACCTGTTTCTTTGATTTTCATTAATGCTATAGTTTGTTCAATGTTGTAGCATTTCTCCTCAAAAATTACCCTTGAAAAGCCATCTTGAGATCCACAAAGAATCAATTCAAAATCATATGGTATATTATTTTCATCATCATTATTTTGATTAATCCAACCAGAGATTAAAGATTTTGAATTTTAATTAATAACCTTTCTTCATTCTTGGACCTTTTTGAAGAAGAAATCTAGGTTGCCATTTATCAGTAAAATAATATTGAAGAAGTTCTTCATATACATTTTTTTATAAGGCCTGACTTTCACATAGAAACTTTTTCTAGGTATTCACTAAATCTAATTAGTGGAATAATATCTTCTAATATAGTTCTGAACTCTTCAAGATCACCCTTACTCCATTCTGAAATATTTTTTTCCAATACTTTATTTTGTCCTGTTCCCCATTGAATAATAGTATAATTTCAAATATCAATTTCATCCAATTTAAATTGTCCTTTTCCAATACAGAAAGAAATAAGCATTGATTTTTAAATTCTTGCAATATAATTAGATTGTAAAAATGATGCTGGATTTTCAGAAATTAATTTAGTGCAAAAATCTTGAAGTAAGCTGAACAATTGATGTTTGGACGGAATTTTATGAATATGAATTAAATTTTGATGAAGCCATTTGTTTTTTTTTCATTGATTAAATAATTTTGCAAATCATCAATTAATTCAACAAAGTTTAATTCATCGCATGCTTCAATAAGTTCCAAATTTCATTTGCATTCAGATTATCAATATCAATAATTCCATTATACATATAACTTTAAAAATAATAATTATTCAATTTAATAATTATAAATCATTTAATTTTAATTTAATTTATTCTTACATTAAAATTACTTCAAAACCCTTTTGGATATATTTCCATTTTCAAATAAAATATCACCATTATCCAATTGTTTAATCCAGTTACTAGATAAAGATACTTTAAAATATGAAGACCTTGCATTTAGAATGGTGGAATGAGCCTTAAAAATTTTGACATCATTCTTTCAATTTTAATTTCTAAATCATAATAATCTGAATTATTCAACAAATTTGAAAAAACATTCACTAGCTTACTAAAATATTTTAATGGTAGAGCATTATTAATGTTAAGGTTGCTAGATAAGAGTGTAATGTTTTCTAAAGATGAAAAACTGTTATTATTTGACATTCTAAAGAAATATTTATTTTTTTAAAAAGGAGTACCAATTGGTTAGTTACGAGAACCCTTTCATATTGATTTCAAAATATTATACTACCCTAAATAAAAATCACTGATTTTTCTTTATGCACTTTAAATTAAAATTTTATTGGCGGATTAGGTAGGTTAAGCAAGCATATTTAGAAATTAAATTGGCAATCGCCCAAAATAAAATTAATTTGTTTGAAATAATATTTTTTCATTTACATTGTGTGCGCAACGAATTATTCTTAAAAAAATGTTTGAAATAACGAGTTTTCCACTTGAACTTTTAAACGAAATATTTAAATACATTGAAGATGATTATAAAACAATATACTCTTGTACTCTTGTCAACAAACAATGGCACAATATCAATATTCCAACTTTATGGAGAAATCCATTTTATTCTCTTAACAGTGTTAAAATATTAATTAATTGTTTATTGGAAGAAGATAAGGATTCCTTGATTGGAATTGAATTATATTTTAAGCTATTGAAGAAACCACCATTATACAATTATGCCAGATTTTCTACTATATTATATGATCATATTAATTATCAACTCTTAATAAAATCTGAAACATTAAATCTTGTACAAATTTTACAAAATAAATTAAGAAGCTTCATTTTAGATCATTCAGCAGGTATCAGAAAGTTTAATGCTACTTATATGAATGGTAATGAGTTAATTAATCATCATAGATTTGATGATTGTTTTCAGAATCTTTATGAAATAAGTT